GTGATAACCAAAAGCCCCTTTTTTTTTCTTTTTTTTTTTTTAAGGTTTGTTCTCTCCATCATCCGTATTTAGATTTTGAGTATGACTTATTTTTTCTTTTATTACTATTATTTTTTGTTCAGCTCTAATTTGTTCATATATTTTCTTCGAAAAAATTGTAGGCAAGGAACTTCTCCTGCTTTGAATTCAAAATCTTGAAGAACTGAGGCTAATTTTCTCATTGGAGATCCAAAATGACGAGTGGTCCTCTCTTTAAGTTGTTGATGCTCATGAACAGATTTAGCAATTCTTCAGTGATATAGTCCTCAACTGATGGCAGCACTCGAGGTGCAAGTTTACCAGTATGGACATCCATCTTTTCTTATTCTTGCACAACCTTTATGGAGTTAGTTCTGATAGGATCTTTTATTTGATTACTATTTTGAAATCTGTAACTAAGGCCGTAGCTAGCAACTCGAAAGTATGTTTTCATCATATTAGAATATTATTTAAATATGAATTGGTGTCTTCTGTTATAGGCCTTGTCTATTGGAAAGTATCATTTTGTTCTGAAGTTGTTCCAGACAATTGCAGAGAAATTCATCAATTCCTTGAATTTACATGAATGGACAATGAATCCAACAATTACATGTAGGTGCGATTAATGTGTGCTTGAAATATCTGTAATATCACAGGTTCAATTAAGGTGTGCTTGAAATATCTTCCATGCCAAATGTTTGGTATGATGTGCAAATTGAACCCTTATTTCTTCAGTGGCTTTTTCTTATCTAAGCCTAAACCAGAAAGTTTGTCTGGGCTTGTCTTCCCTTGCAATCATATGTCCCCTTAATAGATTTACAATTTTGATCATGTTGAATATTATATCAAAGTTTTAAGCATAAAAGTTAATTCCATTTCAGGTTTGAGATTCTGGTGTTTTACATTTTCTACCCTGCTTCTCACTGTTTGTGATCAACTAGACACCTCACAACTTTTGGAATTGCAGCATTTTAACAACATGCTTTATTCTCCTCACTAATTCTGATTCATATTCTTTCATAGCCCTTTTTCCCTCATCAATCAAATCCCTAAATCTTGTGGTTAATCTGCAGCAAATATTCTTTCTGTGTGGGTGCTTAAATACTTCAAAAACATGGGGATACTTGTGAAGAAGGACACCCATGCCCACATTAAGTCCAATAATGTTTCTCCAACGGGACATCAGTTGTATGGAGACAAAGAGGCCTCGTTTTCGATGGAAATGAGCTGTTGGATTTTGAGAATGGTTTTGACTTTGTTAAGGTGGGTCATAAGCTTGTCAAGTTTGAGGTCTCTTGTTCTTGTTTCTAAGCGAACCTGAGCCGAAACAAGAAGTTTTTTCAATCTCCTTTGGGAAAATGCGTTGAATGGGCCGAACAAGATTTTCAAGTCCCTTGAGCTTTCAAAAGGAATCATCTTTTCTGATCCGTATACTTCAAAAAGATCACGAGCTATTCATACCAGAATTTTTAGACATTTAGCAAATGAAGCTCCCACCTGTCTATATAACAATCTAACTCAAGCAATGAAAGTTACTTTAATAAATAGAAAAACATATGTCTATATTCATATCTATATAATGAAAAAAATACAAAGGTAAAGGAATCTCCCGCTTTTCAATAATGGAAACAACAAAATTAACATCTTATGTAATATAAATATATATACAATATAGAGGAGCTTTGTAAAGGAAATCAATCGTGCTAAGAGGAAGGACACGATGATACCTACTTAGATGTGCAAATAGAAAAACCTCAACGGGAGAATGATGATTCGGCAACATGAATACAATTGGGTTCAAGTGGCGTTGGAGCAACCTTGACGCAGCTGCCCTCGGCTTCACTCTGTTCTGCCAACGACATTAGAGGTCCGGGTAGTAATTCGATCAACAGTCACTAGAACAACGCTGGATTCCATGAAAACTTCTAATGAGCATTTCATCGAACAAGATCTGTGCACTCCAAACCTTCAAAAAATAACTAAGATCAAATTTGGAATGTACCTGCAGCACCTCTGATATTTAGCGTTTGCGAGTTGGGGAAAATCTGATTCTAATTCTTCAACGGCCGAAGAAAATCTGACGGTAAGGTTTCGCCGGCTGCGACGTAGCAGGAGCAGTTGAAGAGGACAGTTTCCTTTGGTCAATTATTCACCCTATGGGCCTCTTTAGTTACTCGTATCCAGAAGCAACATTCAGGAAGCCCACATTTCTTTTAAGCTGGCCTAGGTTGCGTTTGGGTTTCCTTTTTACAGTATTTTTTTTATATAATATTTTATAAAAGTATTAATTTATTATAATTAAATTAATTTTAATTAATAATTTATATAATTT